GCAGAGGTTGGTTGGACTGGACGTGCCGTCGTGTCGTGTATAATTGGCTTGTGAAACGAGGAACGTGGGGGGTGTAACCACCGCCGTGAAACCGAGGGAAATTCATGCTGTACAACTCCTGTTGGAAGTGCGAGTTCGGAGGGGATATTCTGAGAAGTTGGAAGTGACCTAAATTTGCTTCAGTCGTGAATGACGCCAGAAGATGCAAAAGAGGAATGCTGTTAATAGATGTTCGCGCGAAGCCTCGAGACGTCACGGAGGCGAATTTGGACGTGTAGCTACAGGGTTCGGAGCAGGTGAGCGCGTTTCTCGTGTCAGCACGCCTACTTCGAGCTTGATTTGCAGTATGGTAAAAAGGAGGCAGTACGTGATGTATGATGTGGAAGCTGACTGAGAAATGTTTGCAACAAAAAAAAAAAGTTGAGCAGTGACTCGGTGCGTCAGATCACACATCACATACAGCTAGCGCCTTGATAGACAGGATAGGCGGTGTGTGAGAAACCGCGGTAGTAAGTGCAGTGTGATCCAGAAATGTGATTAAGAGAGACAATGCGGCAAATATAGAGTGGTAAAGGGCATGCGTCCGAGGCGAGGGCTGGAGGCGGTTGGAAAACTCATGTTCGCGGAAAGTGCCATGATTGCGGGCGAAAGCGAGGGGCTTGCTTTGTTCGAGTAGGATGACGAGAAACGTGTTCCTGTGATTGGGTGAATGGTTGCGAAATGAGAGGGAATTGCCGCCGTCGAGCGGGAGTGCCACACAAAGCAAGGAAGAGCTTAGTCGGCTGCTAGCCAGGGGAATGGCGCGTCGCGGACGTGAAACGTGGAGTAACGGTCACGCATGTCTAGATGGGGAAAGCCGGCGTCTGGGCCGCTTAGCAGGGGCGTGAGTCAAGTCCCGATATGGAAGTGTGGGGCGTGGTAGCAGCACATTCAGTCAACTGCTCTTAGATCTCCCCTTTCTTCCTTACTCTCGTCACGTCTTTCCATTGTCCCTTTATCTATCCCATTGTTCGTTATGATCTCCCTCCCTCAGCTCTCATAAAGTCCTCTGCACGCCCATTGTACCACCATCCAGTCCACCCAGCCCACATACCACGTTTCACAGCTTGGACCACTCTCGGAGCACTTACCATGCCCGCAATCATCGCCCCGCAGCCACTCGCTCCCGCAATCGAGCTCAAACCATCCAAGCATCCCCGTCTGCTCACCCCGACATTGAATCCTATTTATCGCATGCAAGACTGCCTCGTGAGTCCACAGGCCACATCCTCCGCGCGTCTGCTCACACTCGCGCCACAGTCCGTAACGCGACTCCGGTCCCCCATCCCCGTGTCTGACCCATGTCTCGTCCGTTCTGCTGCCTCTGTGAGTACTCCAGATTCTTCCATGCCGCTCCAGCTCATCCGATCTTCCGCAGACACCAAAACCCTCGTGCAGTTCTCTCCGCCGCAGGTCCAAACCCGGCTCACACTCCCTCCGCCGCCGCCGCCCTCTATCGCGCGTCGAATGTCGCGTCGAATCCGCACCAGCGCCACATATCTTTGACCAGCTACCGTGGATATCCGCCCTCGATTCCACGCCAGAACAGCTCAGCCCATGGGACCTTGCAGACCTATCGCAGATCCCAGACCGCACCACCTCCGGACCTGGACCGGTGCGCCGTCGAAAGACTTTATTGCGCTCGAGCCCTCTGCGCGCGAGCGATGACGACGTGCCCACTGACCCTTCATGGGTCGTCTCCTCTCTTCCCTTCCGCGAAACCCCTCTCCGCCTCTCGTCACCCGACGCGCTTCACACCACCCCCCGCTCGCTCTTCAACCCATCCCGTGTCCTCTTCCAGAACCTCATGCCTGTATCGCTCGACCAATTCGACTGCTTCCAGCCCCGCGATTGTATTACCACGCCTTTCGAGCTATGAGCTCGCATGATTTTTTTCGATTCCAATGCTTCGCTTCGCTTTTCGACTTCCTCTGCTTTATCATCGAACAACAACCCGCACTGCTTTATTCAACTGCTTTCCAATAACGGGTCCCAACATCAGCATTATCATCTGAACCAGCATCATCCCATTCCAATCCCATCCATCCATTCATCATCCAAACGAATCTGTATCCCATCATCGACACCATCTATAATATTCAAAAGCTAGTTTTTATCATACTTTTCTCCATCTATTCTCTTATCTATTCAATAACGTTATCCATCCACCTCTCACGTATATCACTTTCCATCTACGTACTACGTACTCTTTCGTTCGCCCGCTCTGCCACTATCCAAGTTTTCGCACGTATATATATTTGAATCGCTGTTGACCTCTGATTCCTAGATTCACCTGTTATTTAGTTTTTTATTATTACCCTACGGACATCGTGTCGCCGCTGAACAAACGGACAACTGCAACTGCCTGCCCCTCTATGTACTACTATCATATGTCCTACGTACCATGTGCAGCTGCTTCTATGATTAACAAATAAATGTACATGTGTCCCCGTATACTTACAAGTATCTTGAGTTCACAGGCACAGAGTTGCCAGCAAGGTCACTGCGCATTTTGCCAGCGTGCTGAATGCCTCCAGATGTCTTCTTCGCAAAGACACAGCTTGAGCTGCAGATGACGTAGGTGGGGTCGCCCTGATTCCCCCCAATAGATAATCTAATCTGCCCTAGCAATTATCGCACATCGCGATGACTCAATTGCAAGCGAGTTTGTGCCTCAAATACCTCCAGCATTCACCCCTTCCTCCGTAAACCTCCCTTGCATATCCTCCAAAAATCCACCTATCGTAAAATGTCAGGTCGAGTCATCAACTTTGGCGCAGGCCCCTCTGCGCTGCCCGAAGCCGTCCTCGAAGAAACCGCCAAAGGCCTGCTCAACTTCCGCAACACAGGCATCGGCATCGCCGAAATCTCCCACCGTTCCAAGGAGTTCACCGCCTACCTCGAAGAAACCCAGGCCCTCATCCGCGAGCAGCTAGATGTACCACCCACCCACCACATCCTCTTCACGCAGGGGGGAGCCACGGGCCAGTTTTCTGCCATCATTCTCAACATGCTTGCACGCCATCGTCTGCTCCACCCCGAGCTCACTGCAGATGAGAGGACCATGGACTATGTGATCACTGGCTCGTGGAGCAAGGCGGCGGCGAAGGAGGCCGAACGCCTTGGGGGTGCGAGAGTGAATACCGCGGTCGACGCGCGCCCATACTCGAAAGACGGCAAGACGTTTGATAATATCCCCCTGCACAGCGCGTATTCCTTCTCTGAGGACCCAGCCCTCATTTACTACTGCGAAAACGAGACCGTTAACGGCGTTCAGTTCTCGCATGACGATGCCGCGCCCGAATCGTTCCCATACCATCTCCTCCCCAAGAACACACTGCTCCCGCTTGTGGCAGACTATTCCTCCTCCTTCATGTCGCGCCCCATCCCCCACCTCGGGGAGCACGCGATCGTGTACGCGGGCGCACAGAAGAACGTCGGCCCCGCTGGCTTGACTATCGTCATCGTCCGCCAGGACTGCATCGTCGACGTTGACGCTGCAGCCAAGCTCGGCGCATCCCCCGTCCCCCTCGCCATGTCGTACAAAAATCTCTTCGAGGGGAAGAGCATGCCGAATACCCCGCCTGTGCTAGCGATATACATGTCTGGTCTAGTGTTGAAACGCAACCGTGACCTTGGGGGTTTACAGTATTACGAGGAGTCCAATCGTATAAAAAAGGAGAAGGTGTATGGCGTACTGAAGAAGGGCGAGGAGGTCGGGCTGTTCAAGGGCCATGTGAAGGAGGGCTCGGGCAGCTGGATGAACATCGTGTTTAATGTTATTGGTGAGGGCAAGGAAGCCGAGTTCTTGAAAGGTGCAGAAGCAAAAGGTCTCACGGGCCTCAAGGGACATCGGTGAGTCGTCAGCCTTGGATAATTAACGGAACGCTAATTATTTAACGCAGCTCTATGGGTGGCGTCCGTGTATCGCTATATAACGCGATCACGGTAGAACAAACGGAAAAGCTCGTTGAATATATGAAAGAGTTCCTGGCCGCCAATGAATCGGCTGTTGCTGAGGCTCCTGTCGAAGTTTAAGAAGATAATGGGAGTTAAAACAAACTTACGCCGGACTCCAGTACAGAGTTTACGGACGCTTCGAAGAGCGATGGATAGTCTGTAAGACTGAGAATTCCTGTATGGATAAACATTAAAAGCCAAGTACTTGTACGGATAGCTAGTCAGACAAATCTCCTATAACCTAGTAAACACCCCAGGCTCTGAGTATAAGAGCGTAAAATATACAGAAGTCATTCAAAATTTAGCACATTAAAAATCCTGAAAATAAGGAGTTCGGTAGATACGATGTCATATAACGAAGTTGTACTCCAGCAAATATATTAAAGTATATGAATTTGATTGCAATACAATATTGATAATCTGAATTCGGATTTCACAGCTTCGATGTCTAAAGATAGATAAATATCGTTAAAATGTCAGAATATAGAAAAAAAGTCGAGAGTTCAGATGCCGTAGTTGCCGGCGTGAAGAGTCTGTTTCGTAAGCTGAGAGTTTGTGGCGCTATGATGCATCTTATGTCAATCTTATGTGATGCTTGGACGAAATTTTTTTTTGGCGCTCGGCACCTTCGAATGTCCTCCGAGTCCGTCTTCAAGCCCAGTATTAACTATTTTCAAAACTTGAAAGCGTCGATCTAAGTTCACGTACATCTTCTACTATATTCCTTTTTCCTCCCAGTAACAATGGTGAACGAACTCAGAAATCTAATATTTGTTCTTCACAAGCTTGAATTTGGAACAAATGTTGGTACTACCTGTATTAATCTACAGGCTAACGAAAATTAACTGTAATAATTTGGCTTGCTCCATGCTGTCCGTACAAGCTAACTATTAAAACCGTTTTCCCCCACATTTTGTGAACGGCACCAAGAATGATCTTATTGAGTGCTTTCGCCCTTGCGAAAGGCGGCTGGTATTACGTTCAATTCTTTATCAAACATCTGCCCCATGGCTGAGTTGGTTACAGCGTCCGACTGTTAAGTTTGTAGCTCCTAAAACCTACTGCTTGTGTAATCGGAAGGTCGAGAGTTCGAGCCTCTCTGGGGCAGACTTTTTGTGGTTAAGAAGTTCAAGCCCTAATTTTTTCTCCTTTTAGTTTTATCCAAATTTATAGGTTTTCTGTTATAGGTTTAATCGCTATTCATATTGCAAAGTACTTACTCGTTGTAACGCTTATATAAGAGCTCTTTACTATTAATCTCAGGAACAGCAAGAGCATTAATACACTTTCCCTAAGGCTGATTTATATATGTGTCTATTTTAGAACTTCCCACTACCTGTAAATTGTGATTTGAAATCAGAGAACCACAGATTGTGGATATAATATTCATGTAACGATTCTGATTAGTGATTCGGTTAACCTCAGGTTAATTCTATGATTTGGCTTAATCACTGTACTACCATCACGCTGTTAGATTCTGCTCATCTACTTATTGTTATAGTTCATGCAGTACAAACATCTTAGATTGCAAAATTTCACTCATCATTCAATATGGTGATCGCTAGTGATTTTATATTTTAGTATTTTCTAGTAACTGTTGGAGTTTGGACTCTGAGCCACAGATCCGAAGTTAAGCTAACATATGTTAATAAATCACTCAAAAAGAACGTCACCTGAGCGATTCGAACACTCGCGTGCAAAGCACAACCGCTTTCAAACTATTGAATAACTGGGGATCCAGTCAATAGCAGGCGATCCCGTTAACCACTCCGGCAAAGTGACACATAAACTTGTACCGCCATGTAGTACTACTCTAGGGGCATATATACCTTGCTTAAATGTACAATGCAAGTATCTATTGCAGGGCTCTGTATCTGACCTCTGAAGTTGGGTTGGACTAACCTGTGCGACTTCCTCAAATCGCAGACTAACCCAAGCCTGGACAAGTTTATCACCCTCTACAGTTACGTCTACAAAAAATGCAGTTGAATACAATTATGTAGGTTCTACAATAAAAGTATAATACAATGCACCCAAGAGGCCTTCATATGTAGCCAAGTGAATTACGCGGATACCCGGCATTCTTTGCTAGCTCTTTTGCATGAGCAACCACGGCTCCCCCGACACCATGGTGTCGTAAGTCCGAACGCATTACTGCTGTTCCCAGAAACAATGAAGTCTCATCAATGTTTGGAACTTTGGTGTTGCTAGTCAGCGGGTTCAGACTGATGATAACAGTAGGAAAAATCGCGCTATACTTCGGCCACCTTTTGCCTATAGTATAGAATCCACCGACTCTTCCCTCAGTAGCCAGCGGCACAGTTGAAAATGTAGAACTCACATTCAATGAGAAACGGAACATTGTTGGAGCTGATATTTCAGGTTTTTGTGTCGCTGTTCAGGGTTTAATACGGTAATATCTTCGCTGAACTACAGTTGAACAAGTTGCTCATAATGCGTAGGTTTTTAGAGGGGAGAAAATGACATCACCCACCCAAATTCCATGATAATAACGCATAAACCTCATATGCATAGGAAAACGGCCTCTGGACTTTATATGTTGTGAGCAATCCGGCTGTATGCTAAACGCGGCGAATTTCTCGTCCGTATGGACTGGTAATTATTTTTAGACTCGTTTTTGGTGCGGTACCTGGCTGTATAAACTGTTAAATACTGCTGCTGGAATGCCCAGAGAAAACAACGAGAACAGTCAAAAGAGAAGTTTCGCTAGAGGTGCTTTACTCCCATCTCATTTCAGTAGGCCAGAACTGTCCGTTGTGGTAATAATTTATGCAATGAAATAATTTACAAATGCTTCAATTACCTGGAGGACATGTTTTAATAACGGATTTATTCCCAGGTCGCGAACACTAACCAGATCCCATGCCAACGACAAAAGTGCTTCTTCCTCCTCGCGGGAGTACTAGTACTTTCTCCGCTCCGTGTACTTGATATGTTTCTGTGCTTGGCACCGCCATCGATCCCATGGTCACCTCTCCCGGCATAGGAAGAGCCGTAACAGTGACTTTAGGCAGGGAGAATTCTCCATGATGCAAAGCGATCAATGTGATAGGGACTGTATGGGTACCATCGTCCTAATAATATTATGAGAACCGTCTAGCAACATAACGGCTTGACCACCTTACCACTGCGATAAAGTCACCTCGTTTTGGTCCACTCACTAACCACTCCCTGACCATTTCCTCGACATTGAAGCGCATCATGTATTTACGGGTTTTCTCGCCTGGACTTGAACCCCAATGGAATGAAGTGCGAATGGTTAGCACAGCTGATATCGGCTGCCCGGCATACAAGATAGGCTTCTGCTCAGATCCGTCTCCTCCGGTAAACGGAACAGAAGTGATACGTATTCTCGCAGCAGCGATGATCTAACAAGAACAGGTTAGGCGAGTAATATAATGCGCGAGGATACTCACATTCATATATGGGACATCGACAGGTATTCTGATCTCCCTCCATTCTCCATCAGGCGTTTCCGAATGCCTGTGAGATCGTAACAGCTACAAGGCATGGGTTAATGGATTACGATTTCAAATTGCCCTGAACGGCAGATGCTTACTTTCGTAATCTTAACAAGTAGATCATTGATCTCAGGATCTTCTTCTAGCATTTCTGGCACAACAAGTTCGCCAGTGATCCCATACATATCAACCCATGTTGCATCACGTTCTAGAGCCTCTACTAGCCTTTTCACCAGCATGACGCGTTGCTCTTGCTGCGAAGGTGAGTCATCGAGTACTTCCCGGACTTGCTCCTCAATTAGCGACTCGACCTCTGCAGTAGTGTTAAGAACGACTTTTTTGAACTAGAGTAAACCAACCTGCCTTCACGCAACATGTGATACTTGATATATAGTGTCAAAGATTCGCGAACTAGTCAGAGCGTCAGCATGAGACAGAAAATAGACCATGTTCACATACCTGGGCCATTTGTGGAGTCAAGAGCGAATAGAAAATTGGCTGGTTGTACAGGCGTCACCGTCTTTCACAAACATGTAAGTCGTGAGCTTATCATGAAAGCACCGAATCACGTACAACAACACCACGACTCTTAGCAGAACATGATTTAATAGTAACGCCCTCCAATCCTGCTTCGGGAGCATCAAGAGTCGCAGCTGCTATGCGTACATGCTGATGGCTTGTAGTTGATACGGTAAACTTGGAAATAAGTCTGCAACACCATATTCAGTGAGCAACTAGCAAAGACTGCTTTGGATCGTACCGCTTTCCACGAAAGAAATCCTCTACATTCACAGATATTGGCAACGTTGTTACCAGCACTCTGGAAAAACGGATACATCGTTGGATAGATGGTTCCGCTTCGGTTGTGTACTCGACGTCGAGAGTGACTTTCTGCCGCGGTAGGTGACTGATATGATAGGTTTATGATAAAATAAGTGCATACCATTGCATGGAAGGCTGATGCGTCGGAATGTGGGACCGAGAATGACACCGTCTTGTCCTCTGGAATACCGAGTAGTACAACTGCGTCTTCAGTAGCTTCAAATGATGGGACAGTGTGATCTATAATAATATATATGCGGGTGCGGAATATCTCCTTAAAAGTAGTTAAATACCTTGCCCCAAAACGGTTTCCTGACATCGAAATGAAATTCCAGGTGCAGACAGTTTTACACTCATTCTGGACACATCATTCCTCCCTGTTGTAACGATGACCGTTAATGTGGACGCTCTTCCGAGCTCAACTGAAGTGTCGTTAGAACAAATTGTAGGATATATAAAACCATAGAACGCACTGCGATGTGATTGACTAATTTGCAAATCCAAGGCATGTAAGTCCTGAGGAATCCGGACTAAAACAGGGAAGTTTTGTTTCGATGTTGAGGGTCCTTTAGGGGCCTGCTTCTTGTGCACATACTGTAACAGAAGATGGGCCACTCGGATTTCAGTTGACTCCAACAGGAAGATACCGGATGATGGTGTCTGGTGTGACTTAGAAATAAAGAAATAGCATAGAGAGAGCAGACGTACTGGGCAGAAGAGCGTTAGATCCGTTTTTCCTGGAGGAAGACCTTCTATCGGCGATATGAAGCGAAGTTTATCAGAATCTCGCCCCGCTAACGTGACATTCACTTGGTCGGCAGGTAGTAACTGCAAAATAATATGAGCCAAAAAAGGAGAAGAATACATAAAAGTACCTACACATGGTAGCCGGTTCTGAACAGTGACATCAATATATGATCCATCTCTTGTTTCTGCTATTCGTGCATCTCCAGATACATGGATTGACACAGCAGGATGCCCCGGATGGGGAAGATCTGGAGCAATATTAACACGAGAACAGTAGAATGGTATAATGATGCCAACCATTTTCTAATTGCGATGCAGCTTCCCGCATGGCATTCACGAGCTTAGAAACGTACTCAAGCTTATCCTCTTCGTGGAGAAGTAAATCTGTTCCACGATGTTCGCAGTATGTCTTCAGGAAAGAAAGAAGGATATGTATCCATTCTACATCTTGTGACTTGTCTAATGTCGCGTGAGTGTCTAGTGCTCGTGATAGCATATATGATTCTAGTGATGTCCACATGTGAGGGGCATAATGAGCAGGCAGAGATGTATAGGTGGTTAACGCTGATGCTAGACGACCTCGATGGCTTGAAGTGAAGCGTAAGCGTATATGCGGCGAGGACACTGAACAGAACCTACAGATCAAGAGCAGCCAGGCTTCCATGAAGCTTCAATGCAAACTTCCTCCGACCGGCTTTGGCGTACATATCGATCGCCCGGTTAGTCGTGCCCACATATAGCTCATAAAATGCGTCGCGGTCGTCAATTGCTTTCAATAGCTCGGGGTTGCTGATTTTGCCTCCCGAAGTAGAATTTCTTGATTTGCGCGACGAGGAAACGGAGAATGGGGGCCGTTCTGGAAGGTGACCACACTTCAGACCTATAAGATCGAGCTGGCAGAAAAGATTGTGAGCATTAGTGACGGCCAAATAAGTGTATATCCAAACCTGTGTGCGTGCGATTTCTAGAAGCTCTCCTTTGCCAGCATTGAAAGCAGGCGTCTTCGCTGACTCTAGCTTGTATGTTGTGACCCATTTGTCGCATTGCTCAACAACACTGAGAGCGGACGAATATTTCCACGATTGAATGAAAAAGGGGGCAAGTGATAACTAATTGGATCATCATAAGTATTGGAGAGCAGAATTAATTCGCTACAAATACCTCTGCATCTAAAAGACGCGTCCCAAAAGTTCCCAGAAAGCTGGTCACTTTATTCGTCACGTCACCCAAGAATCCTATCTTAGCGAGCACCTCACATTGCCGAGCAAGCAGGTATATTCGGAAATCAAACACAGTGATAGTATTCGCGAGGATGAGATCTCGGTAGGGTTTCTTGGTGACCGAAAGTAGCGGTAGCGAATCGTCATTGGGCCCAGCACTGATGAAAGGGCCAAACCATGACATGTTTCGCTCCTTCCATACGTGATAAAATGATTCTTCTAGCTCCTCATATTGAGTAAGAGCTTCGTCTAGGAGATTCATGCCTTCATATGAAGCAGCTAGGCTTTCCTGTAAGTTTATATTAGTATACGCTAGAGTAATATGTTTAAACACGCACTTTGAGGATAAAGAACGTGCAGAAATTCCATCCAGGCATCTGCTGTTGACCTTCCGAACGTTTCACCTCCTCCTGCCGCTGCGCAACAGCTAAATCAAATGCAGAAAGAATTCCATCCTTCATCTTGTTTGCGAATTCCGCAAAGGCCAAAGGATTTTCATTGCCGCTGACCC